CTAAGGGAAAGTCTGAAGAGAGATTTTTGTTCCTTTAAATTGGAAGTATGCACATTTCACATAGGACTGTTTAACTTTCTGCCCTCATTTTTATTAAGCTGTTTACGTAGCTTGAAGTTCTATGACCCTCTCTCTCCAGGAGACATTTTGGAAAACCAGAAAAGACAAAGATAGTCATTCATGTATTTCTAAGTCAACAATTGAGCAAAAAGTTCTAGTAGCAAACCTACCTGGCTTTTCTCAAATAACATAGGGTAGCAAAACTAACTATTGCCCCCCCTCCCCCGCTTTGGAGATTACTTCCTGAGTGTTCTTAAGTCTCAGTGTTGCTATGTTTGCTACTGGCTTTTGTGCCATATGTTGAACAAGAGCTTACTGTCAGTGCAAACTAATGAATTTTCTTCTCAAGGCTGGGTGGCAGAAACCTTTTCCATAGGTCCGTGGCTCTATTTACATTTGTGTCCTGTTACACAGAGCATCGTATTATGTACATCCTAAGTATCATGTAACTGCGGTGTATCTTGCCTTTCAGTTTTAGCTTGTGTGCGTTTCGGAGACTGACCTTTCAAATACTGAAGTTAAACTGGTTTACGAAATTAATTAAATGCTGATACAATAGCAGTTAGTATAACAGGTTAACTGCTACTGATGTCAGTGTTTGCCACTATGTTTGATCACAGTTTTTTCTAATTGGAGAGTCTCATCCTGGCCACTTTCAACTATATCGTGCCTTGAAAATGTTTGAGAAGCGACCGATGTCAGCATGGTAGAGTTTCCTTGTTTGCATCTCATTCATTTCTTCATGGTATGTAGCCCTTTTACAAGGAACTGTACAGATTTATAAAGGAGCGCCAAAACTGCATTTATGTGGTTTACAGTTAGTTTTTATCACTGTCCAGAGCCAACCTTCCCAACAACTCGCAAAGGCCAGAACAGGCTCAGTGGTCTGACATACAATACTATTGTTCAAAAAGCTTTGGTGGTTTGGGTTTTTTTTGGAGGGGGGGAGTGGATTATTTCTTTGCACGAGAATAAGACATTTAGTGCACTGTGCATTTTGGCTTGTGTATACTAAATATCCCAGGCGCAGTTATCTCTGAGGTGAAATATAGTCACTTTCTACCACATAAGATAATCTGGTACACGATTCCAGTGAAAAGTGAGAGGAAGCTTAGCGAAGAAGGAATTTTGGTGATGCCTCTCCAGCTACTAGAGCTTTCATAATACTTGCCTACTTCACATCTCAACGCAGAGGAAATCTTTTTGAGGTTATAGGAAAAGAGCATTCATCACAGCTGACTTATGTATGACTGTACTTCTTTTTTTAGTCAGGGACTACTGCTTTTGACACTTTCAAACTTGGAAGGCAGATGCATATGCAAAATGGTTTGTGGTGTCCTCAGCATTCTGGGGCAAGATTTTCAGTAAGCTAATGGGGAAAGTCCTGCTATGGTTGCTGGTCAGAACAAATAAATAAAAAAAAAAATATTTGGTTCATAAGGAAAAAGAGGATCTACTAGAAACCAAAGCACAACCATTTATTTTTTTGTTGTTGTTCTTTTTGGTCAAACAGATAAAACAATAGGCACGAGCAGTACGGGGAAGGCAGAAAGAGCATGGGGTGAATTCGTGAGCCATAATTCACCAGTCAGCAAACAAAGGGCATGATGCCAGACAAGTTCAGCCATAAAGGAGCCTTGTCTTGGGGGCAGGCTGTGATTGTTTGTGGACAGATGGCTGCTTACCAGTTCATAAAAATAACTTCTGGATACCTTTTCCTCAACTGTGGCGTATTTACCTGAATTATGCCTGCCTCAGAAAAGACAAGATTAAATTCTCTAGCGTTGAACAGGGTTTCTGCATCTGAAAGGGATGCAACTTTGAATTCTGAGATCTGATCTCTTGTGTGGATAAAAGCAAAACTTTTTGTACATTGAGAAGGATGAGGGTGGGAGAGGGTTGGTAGCTTTGTGCTGTGGGATACAGAACTTGCTTCTAGCCCTAAAATCAGGCTGGTGATCTGTGGAGATACAGTCGCGCACAGGGAATTCGCATTTTTAGAGGTCTGAGTGGCTTCCTAGAAGCTTGACATAGTAGGTAAAGAGTCTCTAAAAGTAGAGCCTCAGGTCTGTAAAATCCAGACACGTTCCTACTCAGAAGCTTTTTGTGCCACAAAGGACAACACCATTTACATATGGCGCGTTTTGTTTCGCGTTTGAGAAGACGGAACTTTACCACAGGCAGCTGACTCTTTCTTCTAGCAGGTAAGAAGGATGTGGAGACCATCAGAAAGGGGCCTCAGCCTGTAGCTACCTTGCCGCTGACTTGCGTTGATGTCTAGACCCAGCACTCTGGTTTCCACATCCGATAATTTGAGTTCCCCTCCTCTTTCTGTCACATTTTACAGCCTATCTTCCCTGTACTCATATTCTGCCTTATTGTTTTGCATTGGTCTTAAAAGTCCCTTAGCATGTTACTGTAATATTGGAGTAGAATATTGAAGACAGAGTTAAAATACATATCTAAGAAAAGAACGGCTACTGCTGTGAATTAATCCCTTGCAGGAGAAGGAAGTAGAACTTCCTTTTATTAGTTCCCTTGAGGAAATAGAGATATGAGTAGCCGGTTGCTGG